TATACGTAAATAATTACGCGCGTATGGCTGCGTGCATGAACTTGTCTCTGTCTATTGCATTGGCATTTGACGGAGTTATTGGTGGATACGAATTCTGGCCACTTGAACAGTCTATACGGTGTAGGTGCATAATTAAAAAATATCTATATCTCTATTTAAATATGATATATGGTGTGATGGTGCAGAAGATGTTGCAACAACTTCGAAATGTTGATAGAAGAGAATAGCAAAATACATCTTATATGTAAATGTTGCTCTCCATATAAAAGCTCAGACTATCTTGATTTCCGTTTCCCAGCATCCTCCATTGGGGAGGTCTGGCACACGTAGTTTTGGCCCCTTGGATCAGCAAGGGTGTGATTGAGATGGTATTTGATATAAGTGTTTTTTTTAATTTTTAAGTTGCTCTCCCCGATAGTACAATCATACATGAAAGTGATGAACAGTGCGATCATATACGAAAATGATGGCCTTTTCTTTGGCATATACGTAAATAATTACGCGCGTATGGCTGCGTGCATGAACTTGTCTCTGTCTATTGCATTGGTATTTGACGGAGTTATTGGTGGATACGAATTCTGGCCACTTGAACAGTCTATACGGTGTAGGTGCATAATTAAAAAATATCTATATCTCTATTTGAATATGATATATGGTGTGATGGTGCAAAGTTTGTTGCATATGATGGCTTACACTTGATCTCTGAACTTCAGGTAGGTCCTGTTGAAAAATTCACTTTACTGATGCTACAACTTTGCACCTATTTATTGTCTTTAGCTAATGTATTTTGACCAAAAATAGTTATTTTGTTTGGCATTGAAGCACAATTTTTGTTGCGTATCGCTACCTAAGTACAAGAGTTGGAATATAAAAATTCTAGAAGACTATATAATGTAATAGTCTGTTTTGTTTTCATACCAATCATGTTCCTGGTCAGTTTTCAAAGATATAATAAATGGATTATGGTGCAAAGTTTGGTGCATATGATGGCTTACACTTGATCGCTGAACTTCAGGTAGGTCCTGTTGAAAAGTCCACTTCACTGATGCTGTAACTTTGCACCTATCTATTGTCTTTAGTTGATGTATTTTGACCAAAAAATAGTTATTTAGTTAAGGATCGAGGCATAGCTATTGTGTATAGCTACCTAAAAACAAGATTTGAAATACAAAATTCTAGAAGATTATCAAAATTTAAGGGCCTGTTTGGTTGTCAAAGCAAACATGTTTCTTCTTTGTTTTCAAATATATGGTAAATGAGTTATGGTGCAAAGTTTGATGCATATGATGGCTTACACTTGATCGCTGAACTTCAGGTAAGTTCTGTTGAAAAATTCTATTTACTGATGCTATAACTTTGCACCTATCTGTCTTGATTAAAGAAAAAAGACTTTGCACCTATCTTTTGTTAAATTGACATATGAAGTTCTAGATGGAAATATAGTAAATAGAAAAACTAAGGGCCTATTTGGACTTAATACGAATCTTACATTAGATGTTTAAATTACCTGATTTTCCTTATCTATCAAGTAAATTTCTTTCTTCTCCTTGTAACATCTTCTCAAAATAATTTCTCAAGTACTTTTGTGATCTGGTTATCCCTTTTGTTTATCGTGCTGTGTTGTGATCTAAATATCATCTTGACATACTTGCTGGGTAGGTAACACCTCGAGACATCTTTTTCTGTTTCTAGGTGTCACATTGAAGGATCGAAGTTTAAAATCTGGGAGCACACTTGTTGACATCGGGCTTAGCAAGGTACTTCATGCTCCAATTTCGATGTGTTGTCTTACTTTGTGTACAGCCATGTGGTTGCTACTTTTTTCCTTGTAGTGTAGCTGTTGTCATCATGACTCTACCATTTCTGTAGCTGATAGGCAGATTCACTTTGAATGTTAAGAAGCGTATGTATGCAAATGAAAGAAGAATCTACTCACTAGCAGAGTTTGTAACAGTAATACAATTGGAGCTACTCTCGTATCTCATTTCTATTTCATATTCTTCAGATTGGCTGTTACAGTTATCATTGTTTTAATGAAATATTGTTAAGATGGGCTTAGATATGAAGGAGAACAATACCTGGAATGAGGTTTCAAAATATTGGTAAAATGGTATATTAAATATGGGCTATGAGGCAGTGTTTAAAAAAGTGCCCGCTTCCTTGCTTTAAGCGAGAAGCTGCACACTTCACCCTGCTGGGGCGACTCAAGTGTAGAAAAGCGACCGCTTCCTGCTAAAAAGCGAGATGGGGGTTGTTGCTTTTTCTCGCTTCACGCTCTTCTCAACACTGCTATGAGAAAGAAACCCACATAGAAGCTGTATGTAAATTAGGTAATATTGTTATTCTTTTTTGATTTATTGATCTTTATTTGCTTTCAAAAGCTAGAACTTTGCCATTTCCTAGGGTCCTTTTTTTCTTCAAAATATGAAGTTGGTCAGAAAGAATAGGATACATGGAGATGGAGTACCTATGTGGATTTGGTCACCAGCTTAATGTGAAGCTAAGTGTAGATTCTTTATCAGACTTTGAGGACTGTGAAGCTTAGTGTAGATTTTTTTCATTCTATGAGGAATATTTGGCTTGATGTTCACTCATGAGGTTGGAACGCTGAATGATCGAATCAGGGCCTATGTATGCAGTGCTTTGGCATTGCTTCCGTTCCCCCTTGTTTTCCAATGGTGTGGTTGCTTGAAAAGCAAAAGTTCTATTTGTCATTAATAGGATGTTTGGGATTTTATGTCCCCCCTTGTCTTCAAATAAATTACTATTGCTGCATCCCGGAACAAGAAATTGAAACATTGTTGCCATCTTCTATTAAAATTTTTGGTTTTTCTGAGTTGGCCATCAGTTTATATTGCTAGTTTTACGCAGCCTGTCGCAATTGATCAAGTCATTGACCCAGGAAAAAGAGTGACAGTGTCCATGGGAACAGAGAGAAACTTGAATGCAGGTCTGTACCAGAACTATACAACTTACATGGCTGTATATCTTGCTTTCCTTTCAATATTTGTTGTGCTTTATTTGACTNCTTTGCAAACCTTGTTGATGTTTGTAGACTTCAATATAGTTTGTAGCTAACCCCGGCACAATGCACTGTAACGTTAAAACATTCTTAATTTCTCAAACTTATCGAACTTGCTTACATGATGTTTTAGTATAACAACCAAGGAAACAAATGCTTCCAGAAAACTGCCTGCAAACCTGAAGTACTGCCACTGGAACTGCTCTATTCAATTAATATTGTTGTTGGCTACTTGAGTTCACAGTTCCGAATTTCAATTCTCAGACATACCGCATCAGGTCGTCTCTTCTTCAACACCTAGGGAAGATGCAGGGATGTATTGGGGATATAAAGTACGATATGCTCCAAACATCAGTTCTGTATTTAAGAATTGCCCATACGAGGTATTTGTGGTTTAGTGTGCTCAACCCCTGCTTCAGAAGCAATGTATAGATGATAACTGTGTAACACCTCTTGTTTGATTAGGGAGGGTATGATCACTTGATTGGTACCTCAGAGCATGGTCTTGTTATGAAGTCCTCGGATCTTATTCTCCCATCATTCAGGTATACTCGTCTACAGTTGGTGGTGAAATTTTTGTATATAGGTAGCCACCTTTCTTGTCTTGTAATACTTGTAGCTCAATATGTTCCTAGGCTGAATGATTTTGGAAAGCATCTCCTTTTCATCTTTATCGAGTAATGCTATATAAAATGCGTGTTGACCATGTGGAAAGCCATTTCACAGCAAAGGCTTCAAGGGAAAGAAAAGTGAGGACAAATAACATCTCCACCTTTGGGACTTGTTAGCAGAGAAAGCTTCTTAATTCCTGTTGTCTTTTCATTTTTCATTGGCTGAATTCCTTGCTATTGTGTTGTATTTGACTGAAGGACATCTACTACTACAGTGTGTAGGTCTTGGGTACTTTTATCCCCTAGTTGCCTTTCTTACATCAAGTCATAACCCAAATGTTTTCTGCTCATAAATCCTAACCTTTATACTCTTCCATTTCTCTATTTATATGTTCCCCCTTTTTGGGCTACCAATTCACAACTTAAAAAGCTGGTGAGCTCTGTAACAGGGACCCGTTTCTTGAATCTTGGCTAATTGTTCATGTTTTCAATCGTTGTTTGAGGGTATGGTTTGTTCTCTTCTTATAGGGTCTTGTGCAATTCTCCCCTCATGAGTCAACTTTTAGGGTTGAGTAGGTTGAGTTAGATCTAATTTCCATATTCTTAATTTGGTAACAGAGAGAGACATACCATCCTTGACCTTGGTCTACTCAATGTTGTTCTCTCAAGTTATGTTGCCCATGCTCTAGATGTCTAGTCCTGAGCATACGGTATGGGGGGTTGTTTTCTTACAGGATTTTGTGCAATATCACCTCATGACCTAATTCTTAAGGTTCAGTTAGGTCTAATTTCCATATTCTTAATATGGTATCAGAGACCAGACCATCCTAGATCTTGGTTTACCCAATGTTCTGCTCTCATGTTATGTTATCTATGCTCCAGATGTCCATTTCTGAGCATAGAAGGAGGGTGTGTGTTAAGAGTGTACTTTTTCAGTGTACATGTTGTTGTCTCCTTGTATGGTCTTAGACAATCCTCATCTCATGAGCTAGTCGGCCTAATGTTCAAACTTTTAATAGGTCATATTTGCTCTATCTTCATATCAACATTAAATAGAAGTGCAGAAGTCTTTTCTTGCTTTCTTTTCTGAACGATTTTGCGTTACGTTGAAAATATTATTCTCGTATGACGGCTTTGGGCTACCTTTTCATGGAACTGGGTTATCCTTGGAAGTGAGCATTGGGCTCAAAATATTGTGTATTTATCTGTTAATGCAGTTGGATTTGTCTTGATTTGTCTTAATCTTTAGGCACCTCCTAATTGCTTTTGGTGGACTTGCGGGGTTGGAAGAGTGTATAGAAGAAGACAAGAGCCTAAAGGTACTATTTATGGAAAGCTATTTAATTGAATATGCTAGGTCTCCAAATGTTAGAATCTTTATTTTTGATGAAATGAAGTATGTAGGTATTCCTTTATTCAAATATAGGTATTTTTAATGTTTGAATCTTTATTTTTAATTTTTAAATGATCACCTTTCACGTCTTGCCCATGAAATTAGAAGCAATTTTTCTGTGGCAAGTTGTAGTTTCTGTGACCATCTCCTAAGTCACATTTTCTCTTATTTAGTCTCTGATCAACTTTGAGCATATAGGGACAATATTTAAATCATTCTGATGTTCCAGAACATTAAGGGGTCGTTTGGTAGGATGCATTAGATAAGCTAATGCATGCATTAGCTTTGTGTATTAATAATACATTGTTTGGTAGACATTTTGAACCTATGCATTAGTTATGCAAGCATTATTTATACATCCTATTTGGTATTATCCTATGCATAACTAATGCATAGAAAACAATGGTATTAGCAATGCAATGAGTTTTAATGCATGCATTAGCTTAGTTAAAGACAAAATTGTCCTTCAAAATTTATGCTTGGTTAAAATATGCTAGTTAGTATATTAATGCAAGTTCAAAATAATCCAAATAGTGAGAAATAAAATTATATCCCTAGTAAATAAATAAATACTTAGCATATTTTCTTTTTTATAAATAAATATTTAATTTTATTTTACAATATAGGTAGACAAATAAAATAATTTTTTAAAAACTTTTTCATATAAAAACATTTCTCAACATATGTTTCTTTTAAAAAGTTAGAGTGTGAACTAGTTTTGAGGGCATTTTTGGAAACAAACAATTCTTTTAGAAACTGTGCAATGCTTTAATACATCAAACCAAACAATGGATAAGAAATATGTTAGCATAACTAATACCAGCATAACTAATGCAAGCATAACTAATACCAGCATTACTAATACACCCTATTCAGCATTATTCTTATGCACCCTACCAAATGACCCCTAACTGCTAGAGTTCTAATAGATTTACAAGTGTTTAGTGAGGGAAGAAGCAGATGAGCTATCATTGAATTTTGATCTTTTACCATTCAGGGGAAAAGTGCGAAGGAGGTATTTGATTTATATTTGAATACATGTCCACATCAAGGAAGCAGGACAATTCGGACAGAGGTACTTTTCAGGCCTTTTTTATGTGTGTGTGTCTCATGTTTCTAAGTCAGAGCAACTTTTTTGCCACCAGTGAGGTGTCCACTAATAGTACTTCCGACCTTTCCTGCAAACAGGAGGCCATCTTCATTTCTCTCCAGTACTTACAAGAGCCAGTCGACCGTGTTTTGCAGAAGATTTAGTACCTTGGAAATTACCAACCACCTCAAGAACCTAGAATATATGTCAGAAGCTTCTGTATGACCTCTTCTAAGCTCAGATATTGAAAAATCTGTCAAGGGGAGGAAATCACGAGTTTATGGCAGTTAGTGGTGGCTCTTCCAGATTTGGGGATTCGAGATGTTTGGATTATGAGTGGGTTTTGATTGCTCAGAGAATTCACTTGGCTGTACTCTTCTGCTGCTCTGCTGCTATAATTTTCTACCAATGGCAGCTGAATGAAACATATATTCCTGCCCAAACTTCCAACTTCAAACCCCTGTTTGCGTGCATCAAGTTGGGGAGTGCTCAAATTTTGTGACCATTGTTCGCATTCATTTGATAGTCTTCTTCTGCTTTCTTTTGTTTGTACTCTCTTTTTAACATAAAACTAACCAGGTGAAAGTGAGTTTAAGTTTTGACTTTAGAGTTTTGTAGGCTGGGTGTCAATTGATTTCCAGGTTGAGTTGAGCTGATTGGTCAACTATTTTTATTGTGTACCTCTAGTTCTATTATAAACCTCATGGGAGCTTCCATTCTATAATTCTTGTAATTTATAAAATGTTGGAGGCTTGATTCAACGCAAATTTTCAAGTGTCAACATCGACAACACCAACAATTCTGTCTCAACCATATGAATTCTTATTGTTCGTGTTGCTTTATTTAAGCTTTTCTTGTTCTAATATTATTGAAAAAACTAGTTTTTAGCACACTAGAACTTCTCTCAATTTTCTATTGGCATGTCTTTGATCAGACCACGGACTCATTGACAAAACGGAAAAAGGCCAAATATACTCATGTACTATCAGAAAAGGTTTAAACGTATCCCTCGTTATGCTTTGAGTCCAAATAAACCTTTGTCGTTATTATTGGTTCAAATATAACCATTTTCCGTTAAGTTTGTCTAAAGTGGACATCAACCCTACGTGATACTGACATTTGATGAGGTGGATGCCGCATGGCTTGCCACCTCAGCGCCCCTAACCCATTTTATCCCTCCCTTCTATTTTTTCCACCACTAAAATTTCTTTCCCCGCCACCACTATTACCGCTACCATGAAACATATTTTATTTCAAAATTTAGTCTTTTATATATAAATTAGGGGCACTGAGGTGGCATGCCATGTGTCATCCACCTCATCAAATATAAGTGCCACGTAAGATCGGATGTCCAGTTTGGATAAACTTGACAGAAAATAGGGATATATATTGACCCAAAGTATAACGAAGGGTATATTTAAAACTTTCTCATAGTACAAGGGTATATTTGGCCTTTTACCGTTAGACAAAATATTTGAAACAACTAAGTAGTAGGTTTCCTTACTTTTGCATATAGATCTTGCATGCGGTCTTTACCTCATCATCTCAACGAAAATTACAAAATAATAGCTTAGAACTTCAAATTAACGTGCATTTATAGCTTATTTGGCCAAACTTTTATAATCGGCTTATTTTGTGTTTACCTCAAAAATACGAGTAACAATTAAATTTGATTTGTGGTTTTAAAGATATCTGATTTAGTTCAATACCAATTAATAATCAACAAATATGAAGTAGAAATGAAAGAAATAAGGGAATCAAACCAATATTACTCAGCAGTGGTGACCTCGAGCTTAGTGACCTCGAGATGAACTAAGAGCAAGTAAGAACAATAAATGTAAAGGACAATTCTAATGAACAATTAGAGAGAAAAGTAGGATAATATATTCTTTGCCAATGATTGGATGATGTTACAAATGATTGGGGTCCCCTTTATATAATAGGAGAATCCTAAATAAGGTACATTTCCATTTACAGTAAAAAATCTTATTGGTACAAATGTCTAACCGCCTAGTACGGAATCATACAATCCTATTCCGGGATTTACGCCATAATTTTGTGGACGTGGCAGGAATCTCGCTCATTCTGTTAGATATTCATAACGACATTATTCCGAAGCCGAGCATACTCGGCTTCGATGTCCATTGTACTTTGATCCTCGGGAATTGCATCCTACCCGAGCTCGGTTCTGATCCATCGGGCTCGAACTCGGCCTCCCATGAACTCGGGCTTAAGACGGACCTTCGAGCCTATAAATCGGAGCCATATGATTTTGACCGTATACAGATAGTCCCCGCATTTCTTAAAATAAGATGATAAGAAATGACTTGAATCTCGATGATTCGACGCCTCGATCCTGACGTCAATCTCGTGATGTCAGCGGTTGAAGTGACTAAAAGGTCACTTTTACGTAATTCCCATAGTCATTAATTAGAGACGGCTGACGACCGCCTATTTGGCTTCCCCAATACGCTTGAGTGACCCCTATAAATAGACCAACTTCACCACTTTACAAACTTTACTTCTATAATCGTTTTCAAAATCTCATTAGCTCTTTCAACCTCTTTGAGTTCATCCTTCTTTCTGGTTTGCCTTTACTTCATCATCAACCCCCTCTCTGTGAATTTCTACACCATAATGGCTAAAACATCTAAATCTGTTCCCCAAAAAGAGAAAGCCTCTTCATCATCGTGGTCGCCCAGAAGTAAAATGAAGGTGCCACCTCATATCGAGGAGTGTATTCCCCCGCCGTGTGAAACAACATCCAATTTCAAAATTGAAAAACCTGTATCGACCCTAGGCCGATGTGAACCCATGTCCCGATACATATTGTTTACCGTGAAAATGGTAACAATAATTAAATTTGTAAATGAGATTCTAAAAATACGTGATCTATTTTTATGCTAGTTGTTAGAGCAGTTGATGCTAAGAGTATGGAGTTTAACAAAGAGATGCAAGCTAAAACGGGAAGTAATCAAACCAAAGGGCTTGCCGCCCGAGCCTCGGACTAGTTGATGAAGAAGCCTCGGGGTTGATATCCGGCTCGAGCTCGAGCTATCGGGGGTAGTCGAGAATTGGATAACAGTTAAGGTATGGTCAAACAAGGCTCTTTATGGCCAATACCAAGCAATAAATGAAGAACACGTATGAAAATGATAAACGCTAAAGTGGCCACGAGCGAACAAGTTAGAGAGAAGAAAGAGAGAGAGAGAGATATTATTGATANAGAGAGAGAGACATATTATTGATCTGGTGGAGAATAGTTGGAGCTCTCCTTTACAGAGTGCTAATGACTCCCCTTTTATAAGGGGGGGGGGGGGAGCCCAAACTTAGTACAAGATACGTTGAGTGATAAAGGAAACGGGATGAGACAAATAACTAGCTTCATGACGTATGCGTGGGCCAATGTTAGGCTGCCCAAATAGACTTAATCGACTCCGGATGCATTCTTCGAAAGCTTCCCGTGTTCGTCAGGGTTTTGGCCGATGTTATCTTCGGCTGGGTATCGACAGATCTCGAGGGAAGTGATCGGCTCGAGGTCTTGAGCCTCCGAGGCGACCTACTGAAGCAATTTGTCAACGAGAAATCGTTCCTCCGATTTCACCGTGCACAGATAGTCTCCACGTTTCTTAGAGGGAAGCGATAAGAAATGATTTTGACACCCCACTTCACAGGCTCCCGTAATGACCCCGTGCTGATGGCGCAACCCCTTTTACAAGTGCCAAGACATTTCACCCTTTCGCTTTTTCAGGGTCGTCCGATGTGTTATGACTCCTCATTCTTCGGGGTCATAATATTGCAGTCGATTCAGCTTCCATGAACACATTGATTGCGCCTGCTGTTACGCTTTTCGAGGGAGATAATGGCGCCGTCGGTTACTTTGCCCCCGTATAAATGGGGCTTCTTGTCATCAGTTTTTCATCCAAGCATTCTTTGATATCCATCCTTTCCTCCTTTCTTGATATTTTTAGTCTTTGCCGTCTCGCCATGTTTGAGGCTCACGACCTCAAGGTCTTATGTCAGCGTCATGCGTGCTATGGCCCAATTCTCGATCCTTCTTTGGTTGGACGAAGTTGTGCTGTTGTGATGCTATTGTTGTTATTGTTGTTGTTGTTGCTGCTGCTACTGCTGTTGTTGCTGTCTCCGTTGGCTCGGGGCAATGAAGTAGAGGATTGATTTTCTCCGACCCGGGGAGATACTTGGATTATGCACCGCTGCTCAAAAGGGGGCTCGGATTATACACCGCTGCTCACCTTTCTTCCTCGGCTTGGCATGTTACACCCCCTTTTGGACTCTTGTGGGTATGGCGACAGTCTCTACTAGCTGTTACCTCCCGGGCCGAGGCAACATCTCAAGAAGTGTCTTTACAATGGTAGTACTGGCGGAGTTCGTACTAGCCAAATTTTTCACCCAGCCACTTCTTGTCTTCTTCCGGCGTCTCCTTCGTCATTTTTCTCTTCTCCCTCGCTTTCTTCTTCTATATCCTTCCTTTTGAAGATGCCATTCCGGGAGGATCAAGATCAGGTCCCCGAGGGGATTGGACTTGGAAGATATCTTTGAGGTCATACGCCTGAGGAGATGATGCCGGAGATGCCACACTTTGGGAATAAGTTAGATTCTTGGACTCTTGTTGTATGCATACCCTTGAACTTCTTTATTTTTGTGTAAGGATCCCCTTGCGGGCTTTTGTAATCATATGTAAGGACCCCCCGAGGGCCGTTGTAAGCGAACATTTTATGAATACAAAGATATTTCCTTGACTCCTGCCTTTGATACTTGCTGTATTTCTTTATGTTTGCGGCAGCTCTGAATGCACGATCCTGTTTTGTCGTTGCTAATATTGAACCCGGATGCGAGTATTCCTCCCGACCTTCGGTTGATGGAAACGACTTCGAGCAAGGCCTTTCGCGGTTCCTCGGACCAAACCTGAATAAGGCTAATAACCTCGGGCCGCCGGGACCCTGACTTCGCGTGGAAACGGGGATAATGTTTTTGGGCCTCATAATAACCTTTGAGAAGAAATTTGCTCGGGGACTCGTGTACGAGGGATGCTGGTGTTTTGCTAAAAACAGCCCCTGAGCGGAGGCTCGCTCGCACTCGGACCATCCTGGATAGCACCTGGAGCCTGGTTCGTACGGGTGTCGTTCAAAAACGTTTATTTCTTCATAGACTGGTTGCCCTTGATGGAGATCTTTGAAGTTGCGTGCCACCCTTATGTTGGTGAAGGCATTGTTAACTCTCTGGAGCGCCGCCTTACTATGACGGAGGTCTTCGAGATCGGGTATCGCCTCGAGGCTGGAGATGGTGCTATTGGTTAGCATCTTCGGTCGGCTTTGAATCATCGCCGCTCTTCCACTGTATGACATGAGGTTGTTTCCGCCCTCCCAGGGGTTACCCTATCTCACGCAGTTGCCATTTTCCGCGCCATGTTTCTAGTATCAACACGCTTGTACGTCTCTCCGCCTTTTAGTCTTTCAACTTTGCGACTACTATAGCAACAATGATGGGATTAATCTGACAGAGGGGGAGAAGCTTCCCCCTCGGTTTTCGGGGCCATCGAGGTCTGCTGGTTCCATAGTGCCGGTTGATCACACCCTTAATCGCTGTTGCTAGGAACAACAGAGGCATGGACAAGTTGCTCTGCTCGGGTGCTGACCGCTGGTATTATACCTTAGGAACCCGTATTATTTGCTTGGAAAATGGAGCAATACTCTTTAGGCGGCGGGCCCCGCGCTTTGACAGTTCTGCCTATGGCGAGAGC